TAGTACAAACGCACTTCTCGGATTATAAAATTACGGTCATGAATTCCGCTTTTTTCCTCCCTTACTCTGTTATACGTGGTTATTCTGTGTGACTTGTGCGCGAGCATTAAGCTTTTGGTGTATTTTTCAACCTGAAAATTTTGTGGATGTGCTCTGGTTGATTTCGGAATACACATCGGTTGGTCAAACTACCGTCCGTGACTTTTATTAATTGACAAGACCGGTACAATTCGAAGTGCTTTAAGGTCTTCAGAACCACTATAAAGTAATATAAACCCCCCGGGTTCATTCTGCGTCTATTCGAAGTGTACGACATTTACATTACTAAAATGCGTACTTTCGTTAAAACTACAGAATAACAGCCAAGTTGTCAAAACTGAACATGGTTTGAATACAAAAATGGTTTCTCGCAAGGCTATAATAGCGCATCTTGCGCCTCATCCGTCTCCCTTAATTGCTGTCTCAAAACAAAGAAAGAATGTCAACCTCTCACAATAACTGACAGTATTGAAACCTTAGAAACTGCAAGGCAAGTCATCATGGAGACCAATAAACGCATGCTTGGCACTTCCGCCCATATCAGCAAAACAGGTCAAGGACCAGAGACGTCACTAATCCCCTCGATAAATGTGGATAGCACATCATGGAAAACCAGGAAAAGCGACGGGGCAATGGCACTTATGCGTACCAAAGTTCCTGAGTCCAAGCGAACAACTAAGCGGTAAGCAGCGGGATGATTTGAAGAAATGGTTTTCCTTTGTGATAAAGTCGGAGTTCAAAATTGTCCCGCTAATATAATGCGCATTACTAGACATCAAACTTCGAATCATTATGGCAGTCCCGGCTAATGCGAATAACATTGGGATTAATAGCAGATGTCGAGATCGTGCTCTTGATGGCATATCGCTTTCTGACTGAAAACAATGGATTGCGCATATTTCCGATTGTTTCCTGGAGCGAAAGCCAGCGGGAAAAAATAATTTGAACAGACACCACACAGAGAGTAGCAAAATAATTATTTTGTTCATTGCGTGCCCGAGCTATTGACAACCTGCAAATAAGAAACCTTGCTAATGACCAGTTAGAATGGAATTACATCCGTGAAACTTTCTGTGCTGGCGGCGTCATACTTTAATCGATTACACGGTTACCTGTGGCAACAAAATAGAGCGGCAGTGGCCCAAGGATACTGAAGCTAACGGTGTAGTCATAACAGATGGCCGTGAACTAAATCAGTAGCTGGCAGTTACTTCGCCACACGACATTTTGGAACAAATACTGAAGGCAGCAGTTTGAGAGTCGCAGTCACTCGCTGTTCTCGAGAAAACGACATCATCCGAGACTCAGTCAAACCACAATCTGTGCGTTAAAACTCGTGGGCATCGGGAAGGCTGCTGATGGACTACATCCCGCAGGTGCAAGTGAGACCAAAAACAGATTGCATTCCTTTTAAAGTTTGGTAATTTAACTAAAAAACATTAGATACCTGGTTCTCATCGGTCAGCACAAATACAGAGCATTCAGGTGCTCATAGTCAAAGGTATTTGTTACCTTGGAAGCTTTCTTCTATGTACGCCGAAGAGTAAGGCTTACAAAGCAGACCAACCGAAATGCGACTGAGTCGAGGATCAAGCGCCTGTGATTTCATTGCCACAACGGAAACATAGTTACGCACCGAGAGAAGTGAAATGAGACCACACTGCCAGGCTTGTCTATTGTTCGGCACAAACGACACATCAAAGGAGGAGGGGTGTATATGTACTTCCGCAATCACCATAAATGTGAGCTTATAGAGGAGACGGTAGCACGTGGCCGAATGGTGTGCGCGTTCGTTTTGCAAACATAAGGTTACTGGTTCGCTTCAGCGTATGTGTAGGCGTCCTCGCAGTATAAACAGTCGGCGCGCGACTGGTGGCGGTCGCGCAGCAGTAAAGCGCGGTTACGACGTACAGCTGATAAATTATGATAGTAATTATATTGCTTTAAAATGGTAACCACACTTACCTAATGGCAGTCATTTACCGCCCTCATTCCTTACGCACGAAATGGACTCCCATCCGGCATGGGTTATGTTGGTGGTGCTAAGTATAACTTACAGTCACATACACATTACTCATCAAAACGTCCACGCTTTGAAATCCCAAGCAGCTCCCGAAGAACAGTTTAAGTCCGAACTGAAGGAGCTTGTATCGACTTACCCGCTGTATTAGCACATCAACCCTCCAACCTGCTTCCGAGAAAAAAGATAAGCTTTCCATACTGAATCGTACATTCATCAATGAAGAAGTTATGGTCGAATGGATGATCGTCTGCCTACCATTCGGCCGCAGCGATCATGTAGTATTAGACTTCGAATATATCTTATGATCGGAATATGCCGTGCAAATTGCCCACGCGAAGAGAAACGATGTTCGCTACGAAATATTAGCTCGACTAGCTGACAGTCAACTGGACGTTTTTGGCAGACGATGCGTCAATTGGTGCATGGGAAGAATTCCTTAGTTAGTTCAACTCTCTGTTTGCCAAAGCTTCAGTGACCAAGAGTTTCACGCTAAAGCGCCTGGTCTCCTTACTCTGAAATAGGACATGCAAGTGTATAGCAGTGCGAAAATCAGCCTAGCATATCTAATAAACCTCTTCGAGCACCAATAACTTGATGGCCTAAGCACCCCAACGTAACCGATGTACGCAGCTTGTTCGCGAGGACAGGCTGGCGTACAAGCAGTATTTGGCACTGCGTACAACCTCAAACCATAGTCTTCTCTAGCAACGCTTCAAGTGTGTGCGTAAGGGGAGAAACAAAGAACTCCTCCTATTCAAACAGCAGTGGGGCACACACGGACACTGATAGAGGCAGCGAATACCCTCGCCTACAATATACCTCCACATTTCAGTGCGAGCTCTTCCCACCAAACTATATGACTATGTTTCTTTTACCCATTAAACTCACACACAAATTAGCCACAGCAACAGCTATACGAAAATTTGTTGAGCATACGCAAGCACAGCTCTGCTGGAGTTAATAATATAAACATGGAATCTCTGGCTGCAGAAGAAGAGAGTTTAGCTGCGCCTTTAGCTCGATTATTCCAAAACGGTTTTGATGAAATTTACCAGCCCGGCATGTGGAAAAATGGGACGATTACTCCTATTCACAAGGAAGATAGCCGTTCCAATCCAGTCAACTACTGTCTCGTAATCTTATTACCGGTTTTTTCGAATATCAAAGAAGCTATTCTTACTGATGCGCTAAAGGCCTACTTGAGATCAAGTAACTACCTAATACCGGAAAAGCACGGTTCGCACGTCCTCGACCGTGCATTACAAACGTACTACTAACACCATCCAACTGGACTGAAGCAATAGATTCCCATACAGTTGATGTACTCTTTCTCGACTTATCCAAGACGTTCGACCGGTTAACCGAAAACGTTTTGCTCCTCAAATACACAACTTTGTTATTGGTGATCCCCCTCCATCCAATGTAGACATATATAAGGTGATGCAGCTGGGACAAACAGGAGTATCAAAAGTCTTCTGTCGAGAAAGATCTGCAATGTTTGATCCAGGTTGACCTTGGAAACTCGAAGCACGCTGAGAAGGCATCAAAGAAGTGCATCCAAAATGTGGGCCTCGTGAAGCGTGCATTCGAACGAGTAGAGCTGTTGCATTTTCCACAAACTCTCTGCTCATACATACGGTCAAATGTGGAATACGCAATACAGGTTTGACAGCCATGGCTGAGGAGACGTTTCGTCGCATTGGAGATACCCTAATTCCGGTCAACCAAGAATGTCAGGGATGTGTATCACTTGCACAGAACGCCAGAATCAAGCCAAGTCAAAGCTTAAGCTAAAATATGGTATTATTCGAATGGATGTCAATAGGGGTGAAGAAACACATCAACAGTCCTGCTTTGTACCAAAACAACCGTATTTTTACAAGGTATGCGAATCGTTTGCAAATTACTGTACCTGTAGGCACAGAGAGATTGTGAACCCCATTATCCGCGCGCTGAGTTACACAGGCGCTTATTTGTAGTGACAACTGCACGCGATTGCAAATTTGATCTACGGCGTATAAATGTAGGTATGTATAAAGTCCCCGGGTGAATTAAACAGGGCAACTGTCACTAAGTATGCGTTTGAGAAGGCGGGAATGTATCGAAGGCATGCTAAACTATCACATAGAGCAAGTTACATTGATCGATGAATTGGGTTGTGGTGCTTGGTTAGTGTCAAGACCTTGGAATGCAACGAAATGTAAGACAAAAATGGTTCGTTAAGCGGACGCAGAGTGAAATCCAGCAGATGCCAGTTCTGGTTATCTACAGTAAGGCTCCAAAATCCAAACATTTCTTATTTAGTAATTTTTTCAAAAACATTAGTTCGGTGCAGTGTTCGGTGTGGACGCCAGCGCAGGAAACTCGTCTTTTAAGATTGGTATATAACGAAGAATTTTAGATCATTCTCCCATTAAACTCTTGTACCTCAGCTTTGACTACGATTTCGTCTTTCAGATAAAACGTGGGCTAATAGAGGGACATTAGCATCGGCAGGCAACTAGCCATGATATGTGATAAACGAAATGACTATCAGTTACTTAACATGAAGCATTGTGTTCCGCACAGCCGAGGCATAAACACAACTCAAATAGCTCCAGAAATTGCTGTTACATGACAAAATGCGTGTTTAGCTGTTGCACAAGGACACTCATCGTTCAGCTGACTTGGACCAAACTGATGGTTACGAACCGCCTTATGTTCCGTTCAACACCACTAAGATTCACAACTTCTGCACTGTCAATCAAATGAACATTTCGAATGCGGATGCACCAATTAGCGGTTGTCGGCTACCCAATCGGTGCACAAGTCATAAACAAATGCCCGTGTATGCGACACACATATCCACCAACTAGAAAATCTCACTGTCTGGAAAGAGCACGATGGCGAGTATATAAATAAGATGTGTATCAACATGATAGTTAACTTATTCGCTATGATGTTCATGTCAAAATGTTTACCAATGTTGGGTAAGTCTCCGGATGACGGTGACCTTATGTTCAAAAGCTGATTATTCAGTGACTGTATTCCACCACAGAACTGTGTTGCCCATGAGTATAATATAATTGTAATCAGTAGGCACCAGACTGCTAGACATAATCAGTATTAGCTGATGTTTTTTCATTACCCTACTGTGACAATTAAGCAAATATTTAGCTCGTTATTTGTATTAGGAAGACGCATTTATTTGTTGTTGCTTCACATGCATTTCATCAGCAGCTTAAACTCAATTAAAAGATTCGTCCGATTAGGAGCCACACATGCAATTAATGTGGAGGATAAAATGATGCCCCACCCAAGCTTAACTGAGCCACTTGGCACTTAAATTGTTTCCGTATCAAACACAAAGACTGTGTCAGAATCTGTTGCCCAATGTGGTGAGGTTTTGTGTCTGACAGCTTGAGTACACGGCGATTAGATGCGTAAAAACAACAACGTTGAACTGCTGACTGTCGAAACAGTTGCGAGGCTAGTCGAAATTCCTGCACATTCGAGTGCATGATGTTCAAAATACACCGATTTAGCGAAACTGAAACGGTGGTCTAAACCACTTACTTAGACATTCTGACTTAATATTGTTCAGAAACCACTTTTGTGTCAAATGATTTCATAGCATACACTTCACGGAGGCGATCTTTTTCGTTCAACAGCAATTGCTTTAACGCCATGCAAACTGGAGCATCTATATGGTGAGTTCGCATTAGTGAAATGGAATTATTGGAAGGATCGTTACAAACCCATTGCTGGTTGTAACATTCCATTATGTCCGTCATGTCTACATTAATATTTGCTTCATAATTTCATGTAAAATGCAAGCAATATTGTAAAAGCAGATTTCCCAGTGTGCAATTCGCAGATGTAGAGAACCAAGTCTTGTCTGCATAAGTACCCAAGCAAAAAGTCAGCTGGTATTATGTACTTCATTTATGCCTATCCTAACAGTGATAATAATAACAGGAGTATTACTGAAGGATGGCAATCCTGTACCATTTACAAGTAAAATGGAATTGGAAGACGATACAACTTGTAGACATTATGAAGGTGTCTGCATCAAAGTAAACAGTATTGCATTTAACTTTTTTATGGCGAATATTAATAATAACAACGCAGGAATTATCTCTGAAGATGATGCCTTTACTGAATAATTATGGTTAATCTTTCATTGTGACACATATGGCGACATAATATCTGAAATTTTAGCCTAAGCGTGGTGAAATGTGCTCTAGCCGATCAGTGTAAACCAATCACCCATTAAAAGACATTATTTGTCACGCGTTTTCAGCTCCGGGCCTCAATTACATCCAAGACCGGCGTGCCATACGATATGATCGAATGTGACTTTTCTTCATTTAGTGCACTACCAAATCAAACTCACGTCATCATCAAAGTAGATAATAAAGGATCTACTGAAGTGCACCGGTTCGTAAGGGAATTGTTTTCAAAATGTGAAAGACGGAGAACAGACTCGAACAGCACGGGCTTAAACCTGCCACGGCAATTCGGTAAATTAATCCCAGTGGTTGCAATGAAATTTGGACACCGTTTCGCCGCCCGCCCCTCTAGCTATCTTTATGAAACAATTGCGCTGAAGTCAGTAGTGATTCAACTCATTAATATGTCAGGTTATCTGCAGTTATCAGCCACCTAATTATATTCTATTAAATTCACATTGAATTCAAAACGTACATGGCGGAACAAGAAGTAATACTGCTTGTGCCTTTTAAGTTAATGTTCTTTTGGCTGCGACTTGATAGCTTTACACTTTTCCAGAGGCTGTCATCGGTCATGGGTACGCAAGTAAGTTGTTTTACCAATCGAGATTCATGGCAAGCAATGACAGCTAGACAGACAGGTAAGAGAACAATTCACTTATCCCCATGTAATCTCGCTTCCGGACATAGTAGGTACCACTGGAGTCGCAACCGAACCGACGTCAGTCTGTGGTAACTGACTTGACAATCCTATGCCTAGGAATTCATCTCGATAACCAGAGAGAGCAGTTCAACGCAGCTGACTAATCTTGAGAAGTAAAGTCACGTAATCGCATTTATTGTAAATGTGAATTGTCCATTAGCGATAAAGCATATTGACCAACGTTTCAGCGATTCTCCCAAAGGTTTTAATCATGGTATACCACGATGGACAGTAACTGGGTGAAACGCACAAGCCCAAACGTACACTTATATATTGGCCAGTGCTAAACAAGGGTATTCCACGCACCATTATGTCAACATCTACCGTTTTACGTGGTATTCATTGTGCTTGTAACTTTCGAAGCCCATGTGTTGTCAAACCAATTTAGCCATCCGGATTGCCATGGGATTCGTCGGAGATGATTTAACTGGCAACTGGCTCAGCGTATATGACAGTGCAACTGTGGTGATGCATATTGCGGCGACGACCTGCTCGGAAGTAAGCAAATAATTTTTGTTCATTCGTACACACACTTCGCTACCCTACTGATTGCGGTGATTCACGATAAAGGGAAGACGGCGGTGGCCAACTGTGCCATTTTACAGGCATGTTAACGTATTGTACCACGCCTTTAGCGTGACACATTTTCAAAATCGCGTGCAGTATTTTTAAGTTAGCTTAGCTAACAACGCTGTTTTTTGCATGCTTAGCACTCACATTGGTCAGGGTATATTGGTCAGTGGGACACCGGTTGGAATCCCGAAGCATAAGCGACCGACAGGCTATTGAAAGTGGTCGAACACCACCTTCTGTTCTGTCTTGATGCCCAACTGAAGTGAACTTCGAGGACTGGTCTCCAAATTGAAACCGTCCAATCAGCAACTTGTGATGCCTGTCTAAGTAAGTGGTCCTAGCTACCACATGATCGGAAGCTTACGCCGTAACCAGTGCGGACAGACATAGTAACCAGCACATGAAGCGGTCTATACTTGATGATCGCTAGCGGCTACCTGGTGGTAACTTATGTAGCGGCATAACCATGGTGGCGTAGACAGGCAATTTTCTAATCGGTATTCCGCAGTCCCTGAAGTCTGAGGGAGTGAGGCAGGCCAGCATTTGCGGTTGATCAGGCATTCTCAGTGACTTGGACACTGCACACCCAAACCTAAATCAACAATGGCTGCTCGGTGATTAGAAATTTTGTGGGATTCTTATTTGGACGACCATGTGGGACATTGTTCCCATTGAAGTTGGTAGACTAACCTGAAGCTAAAGAACGAAAGTTCTATAGGTGCTTACTTCTATCACAGTTGATGACTAAACACAAAATAAGTGGATTCCAAGTGTGGCGTTGACACGACGTTAGTCTTGGTTTGTCTCCACACCCATGGGTGACTTGTTAATCAGTTGTCGCTTCATTGTTTCCATTTACGACATTATTACAGGTCATAGGAACCTATGTATTCATAGGATAATTAAGCTTTACCTCCATAAGGTCACCATGTTTGTCGAGACACTTTGACAAGTGGCTCTCCGAATGGCACCATTAGAAGCACAGTCAATACCGGTGGAACCTTCCTATTAAGTCCATAGACTGCAATGATATCCTCATGAAATCGGTATTACTCAACAATGAGACACCTAAGGCGGCTACAATGACTACCGCATTTATACATGCCACAACGTCCTGCTAGAACAGACGCAAACACCGCTACCTGGTGGCAACTTACGCATTATGCTCTGGGAATTCGGGTGAGTAATTGGAATAGACAAACACTGTTGTCTCACCCAGGGTCGTTTCTACGGCATGTTTGCAATCGTTTACATAGGCAATCGCCCCCACTAATCTTGTTTCAGCCGGTCTTAGAAGCACTAATGTGTGCACGCCGCGACACACGTTGTTATCGACTTAGAAACTACTCGGAAACGTTTTGCCATTGGGAACTAGGTGATTTCGGAGGTATTGTTGAAGGAGGAGAAGTGCTCTAAATCTTATGCTATCACTGCGTAGGCGGTGCTTGTTGACAGGTCATATCAGGGCAGTACGATCACCTGCTATTTCAAGCTTATCAATCACATGGAAGTGAGACGTAAATAGCAAGTTGAAACGCAGGATTGCCATACATGTACGACCTTTAAATAACGGCAGATCCATGGGTACTGAAGCGGTAACTGATTACCGAAGTGGCCCATAGGCGAACGAACACTCACTAATGTCGTGTAACCGCCACACTGGAAGCCCTGCTAGATAGACCAACGACTGCAGATCCAATGACGCTCTTATCTACCCAGTGAACCTGACCTTACTATTCAATTCGCCGAATACATCAGCAGTACCTAGCTGCACTATTCGCATGAGTTTACGGTCAACTGAAACAACGCAGCACAAGAAAGTGCAGCTGTAATGGATTTAACATTTCTATTTGCGAACAAGTATTCGATTTACCTCCTTCATCCAAAGTAATTTATGTTTTCTGCATATCTCACACTGCCTCAACAATCACACGCATTTCGTAAACCAAATCGCACACCTATCGATTCTGCAGATTGCTGGCAGTGTCACGATTACACCACTTACCCTATTCCTTGTGGCAAGAAAGGCGAGCGAGCCAGGAAGACAACCGTGCAGTCCACGCGTAAGCCTTCAAAGCATTTCTTCCAACAGACTGCAAGGGTTGCGGCCTCAAACAAGCAACCAATATGCTTCCTATCGCTACTCAATTAGATGTCATCTGGCGAGTGTAAGCCTTCCAAGCTTCTCTTCCAACAGACTGCAAGTGTCGCAGCATCAACAAAATCAAAAAATCCGCTACTTATCATCCCTCAATTAGATGTCATCCCGCTCACGTGGTAGTCAAACCTACCTAGGCAACATCGTGCCTGTAACTTTCGAATTCATTATGATTTCAAACAAGATCAGCAATCCGGATTGCCAAGAGTCTAGCCGGGGAGGACTAAAAGGGCGAATGGCTCAACGAATATGACAGTGCAAAAGGTGATGCATACTGCGGCGACGAAATGCTCGAAAGTTAGCAAAGGTTGGAGTAAATTCGCATGAAGCTTCGCTGTGTGAAACATTGCAGAGACGCCCGTTGATTGAAGGAAGGCGTTGGCCAAGGCATGTAATCTAAACAATATAAAGTTTCGCAAGATATTATATCATTAACTCGAAAAACCTACACACCATGTGCAACGTAGCTCATGTCCAAATTTGCTTGGGATTTTTCTACTGTTTACAGGTTTTACTCAATGGTTACAAATTGGACGAAAAAATGCGGCATGTCTCGAGCATTTGTCCAGCAAGCCAAACTAATGTCGTGCAGCACACACAGGTTTACCTGCAACTAGTTATACACACTGTGGGCCGTATTCGTGCCAAAACGTGTAATTTAAAAGCTTTGCCGTTTGTCGTTAAATCGTTTACAGGGTACGGTAGTTTGATTGGTGTTTGAACATTGCGTTGACATACATTGGACGAACGCGGCATATGCGGCTTCGTTTGCCCTAGAATTTAACACAGGTGCAACATCTCGTGTTCTTTTTAGCCCACGAATATTTACGCCTGAGAACCAGATCGCTTTTAAACAAAAAAGGTATAAAAGGTAACACAATTGGCAATTATCATAGATCAATAATGCATAGACCAGAACCTGTAGAACATAGCAAGTGTTATGAATCTACCGTACTAATGAACATATTGTACTTTTGTCACTTAATCTCTTTTATTACTTAGTATGAAAAGGTGGCGAATACTGCGAAAATATCGGGCTACAAGAACTTCACTTGCGTTGTAAACGGTCCACACAGAGAACATGTGAAAGTGGAATTTATCTTGCGTTTCGAATCGGATGAAGTGGACACATTCAGGTTAACAAAACATGACTTGGTAAAGCAAAACACAGGAACTGGTTACGAACTTACTAACCTACATATTGTAGTCCTAAGTGCTATACCTTAATATCAGTACTAAAGTCGTACCGTTTACATCAATTTTTATGTGACAATTCCTAGTGAACGAAAACACTAATTTTATCAGACGATTCCATGTAGACTAACACATTAGCTCAAAGTAATGGGTTTTATCTTATTGTGTCCAGCCGAAGTATGATTTAAGTGTCAACACATTTGCTCGCCTAGATATGTATATATATTTGACCGGCGTGCGCGATGGAAAAAATTCGAAAATACACACAACATAACCAATGTCATTGAGTCACGTTACGATATCATGCTAAGTAGCAGAAAGCAAATAAATGCGAAACTAAAATGGATTCATATGAATGATGCCTGTGCGTCCGGAGCATCAACCTGGTTATTCAACCTAGGGTTAGCCTGCTCACCCTGTCCCAAGTGGCATCCTCCAATGTGTGCAGACCGTCCCCTGCTACATTTAGGAGAACGTAAGCATTTCCAGGAAGTCTTTTGGGTTGGTATTGCGTGTTCGCCCATCCCATTCGTCAAGTGTATGATTATAATTGTCCAGCTTTGCGACCGGTTTATACCCGAAGCTGAACGTCGAACATACGCTAAGATTAATTCATCGGATACTTGTATGCTTCAGGAGAGCGTACTGACTATGAAGCAAAGCGATGATGCACAGTTTGAATACCCGAACCGAGAGCAGAAAGGATTCCATCCACTTTAGGTCCTTCAACGTTAACAGAAGGTCAGCTAAGCATAGATTGAATATTTGACACTAAAGCGTATTCATGAAAACGAAGGTTAGGCACCAATCGAAACGTCTTTGCGATCAGGTTCTTATGGTCCTAACAATATTTATCCTTAGCACTCATGGGGTAGCGGAACACGAATCTTCTGCATACACAACGTAGTTTTCACTTGTCGAGTTCAAATACGGTGAGAATACAGGCACATGCAGATATCGCTACAATGTTCACCCAGGTTGCCACACTGATCCTTGGCGAACAAAGGAACAAAGCGTTGACCACATTTACTTGATATAAAGTCAGGAACAATGATCATCCGGCTTTGCAGCTTAAGAACGAATGATACCACAATAACGACCTACCTATCTTTAATCCTTTAGTGTGACTAAATCGAAAACGATCACAATGCGGGTTAGGTTACCTGACCAATAAGAAAAGTGAAATCTTTCTGCATTTTGATTAACATAAAAGGCAAACTCAAAAATTAATATGAGGTACTTGTCTTCCGCACTCTGCGCAATGAGAGGAACCTAGATTATTACGCAAAATGTGGAACCGGCTGCTGATGTAGGGAATTCGTACTGTCTGAAAGTGCCTTAAAGTACGGATGTTATGAGATACACATTAACCGTGACGTTGCATAGAGCCCGCAACTGCCGTAAAGCAACATGTCAGAAGTACGCAGCAAGCAGGGTCGCGTAGACATATTCTTTATCCATGGCGTGCCGGAACTTCCTTCCTACACTAAACAAGAGGACGGAATGCACGGTTTAGAATAATGGAAAATCATTGTTAACACATTTGATTTGGATAACGTGGTCGCGGGATTGCTCTCACCAAATCATAAGTGGTGCGGCCCAATTAGGTTAAAATTGTTGGTTCAGTCGGAGAACACATAAACGGTAGCGTAAATAGTTGACGGAAAATTTGGAAAGGCCTTTCAAGAAAACCTCCATTAAAAGCTGCAGAATTCCTACAAAGCCTGGACCTACACACCTCAGAAAAAGCAAAGCTACATGCGGTTACCAAACAGCTGCACTTCGGTTACTTATTTACGTAGTTCTGTAGTAGACCCGAACAAGGAATGCGACCTAGGTTAGACACATTATCTGCGGACAATGTGGTTATGCCACACTAAGAAGGAACATTAAACGGTTTCACATCGATCGGCGTTCTCTTGCAACTGATTTCCTTAGATTCATGTGGGATGCAAGGTACTGAGTATCTGTGCTATATTAATAACATTCATCAAGGCTGTTGTAATACGCTAGTTGGAATGAAAAATTGCCAAATAATTAAGACATGGGTTGGTATCGGTTTGCCTGACAACTGATTACACGGTAGCATAACGTACGCTAAGTTTCCGCTGTCAGGCCTATCACGCATCCTGAGTGACAACGGTTGAGGGCTTATTCTGTGTTACCGAGGCCACCTACAAGTCGTGGCAGTGGGTGATTTAGACACACAATATCTTGATTCCTTTGGTGGCGCATGCAATCAAAAGGCAGATACTTCTTCCTTAAAACTTTGCTGCACAACCTCCAAACTCGACACGCGAAATCTACTGTAATCTAACAAGCGCTATGAAGTATACCATAAAAGATAAATGCACTCATCTCTTTAACATGAGTGTATTCATTGTACACTGTTTGTAAGCACCTGCCATGATAGGAGAACAATGCAAAACTGATCCGCATGAAAACGGTACAAAGCTCTGGTTTACAACCAGGATATCATTTTACTCCTTTCAATAAATGCAACAGCTTATCTGTGCTTGAGCTCCAGTTCACCAACCATAACATGTACGTGATCTATAATTTGTAGACTGCTCGTTGATTCGCATAATATCCCACCATTCGGAAGCAGTTACCATCTATTAGTCTTCCAGTATTTGTCGCCCTGCTGCAGGAACTTAACCACATCGCTTTTAGCAGGA